CCAAGAGTTCTGTGAAGACATCAGCGGCAGTTTTTAAGAGCTTTTCATTGCTCAATAAAATTTTAAAGGTTGAGATCATTAGGATGCAATTTGTTATCTCCCCTTGTACCAGATATGCTTGACATGGATACAGGGAAGATATTTTTATTGCATTAATCAGATAAAACTTGACTGGAAGAAATGTCTTTCTAGCTTCTGTCACAGAAATGGTTTCCTTCAGAGACGATGACCAAGCCTCAGCTGCACATCTTAACAATTCATTGACCAATGAGATCAGATTTGAAATTATATCTGCTACATTCACCTTTGTTGCGAGTACCCCTTCACCAAGCTGAAGCAAAGTAACTACACCTTTCCACGAAAAATTAAGAACCTTTACCAGACTGCCACCATTATTAGCAGCAACAATGCCTATCTCACACAATTTTTCTATTGTATACTTCGTTACATTAATAACATGATTCATTTTACTGAAACCTTCAACATCCATTCCAGTTTTGTCCCCTGGAAGTTTTTCATCCCAGGACTCCCAATTTACAGCTCGGGCATATGCTCCACATAGTCTTATTACAGCATCAATGACCTCCAGTGTGACCTTTACCACTGATTCAAAGCACTGAATTCTCTGCATTTAGGTTGTGCAATGTCTAATGTGAGATGTGATCGGTATTCTAAAATATATAATAATTAGAGTTCACAAATGGAAAATTGACCAATTGATCAACAAGTGTTCATTTAAATAAAACGGAATATTTTAAAGTTCAATAAAAACATAAATATATACTGGACCATCATGTAACACATATCTCAAAAGTGGCCTATGTATATTTATTTATGCAATCCATCACAAGTATATGTTACCCCAACTCATAAGAAATAAGATATAAATCAACACTAAAGCTTGGCTCGTTCAAATAAACAAGAGTCTCAATACCCAATCAAAATCCCCTGGCACTTCATTGGAACCTTAATGTTAATGTAAGTTTTTTTCTTTGTTAAACATCAGAAATTCATAAGCCCTGACTCACCAAGTATTTAGCAGTACTCGATTTAGCAAAGCATTTCTTAAACTATTACTAAAATGCATTTCGAAAAGAAAATATTTGATAAGTAATATCAATTTCAAAAATATAGAAAAGAAAAAAGTGAAGACATTCTTTTCATTAACAGTTCTGTGGCGTTCCAAAGTTTGTGATCTCTTTCAATATGAATTACTACATAACAGATAAGATCCAGAAGATAAACAAAGTACTTTTATTAGAATAAATGATCCATAAATATTATCACAGGAAACACAATGCAATAAGTACCTTAATCTCTGATATTGAATCTTTGATCAAGTTTAACTGTTCCACGAAGAATTTCTCAACAATATCTAATGACAGCTTGTCAACAGAAACAGGGAATCTTGACAAAAATGAAAAACTAGCACAAGAAAAGCTCAGCAGATTCAGTAGCAGCTGCAAAATGAAGTGCATAGTGTCAATGAAAACTGTATTCTACAAGACAGCTAGTTCACAATGCAGCAGACAGATGATGGAAGCAGCTCACGCATATGCTACCTTTTTTATTGAGTATGTATTAACATCTGGCATGGAATGTTATCCAAAATACCAGCAACTAAAGCACGGAAACATTACAAATGTCCTACATGTCAACGAACTTCAGAAGAAAATCCCTCAAAGAAATAAACAGCATGCAGACCCTCCGATAAAAGGTATAACTTGGTTCAAGAACAAAATACAAGCTGATAGGAACAACATTTAATACATCTACTTGCACACTTTCCAAGAAAAAAATTCAATCATTTTAAACTGGAGAAGTCTCCAATTAAGAAACTTGTCGTGTTAGTATTCAGGTTAAGACAAAGGATGCTTTATATAAAAGCAACATTTCTTTCTGTAAGCAAATAAGAAGACTGACAGTGTGCACTAACATTTACCTCAAAGAACAGGTTGGCATGCTCTTCTTCTTGAGAATCCTCAGTCGACATAAGAGTCATTTTTAGGTGTTTACCACACCATATGCTGGCCTGACGGGTAAATCATGCTCAAGATATTAGACACCACAGGTTCCAATGAAGAATAAAAACTTAGTATGCTTGCTCTTAATCCAAACACAGTGCAAGTAAAGACATAGTACCTTGGTCCCAAGGGCAAGGAAATGTGCTAGACAGTTGGATATATCAGATTCTAGGTATTTTGCAGCCACCTGTAATATAGCCCTATTTAACATGCACTGGCTTATATCCAAGCAAGTATAGTCCTCCCAAAATGTCTAGCTTGTTGTCAAGAACAAAACCATGAACAGATGATTGCATAGCAAACAGTACATGAGAGGATCGCACACCGAATTATGACCATTTGCAAAAGAAAATAATGGTGGGCTGGTTAGCCATGAAAGCTTTCCTATGCATGTAAATTTGAAAACATATTTCTAAGAAACTTTATGGCCTACAACATTGCATCAAAAGAAACACAAAGGTCATCATAAGAGCACTGAGAAAAACAAAAAGTAATTGATCCAGTGGCAAAGCTTTTCTCATCAACACTTAACAAGAAGCCAAAAATGGGGTTATCTTCCATTTTATTACTGCGCACAACGTTTATGTACGAGAAATTGAACAAATATTATAATAGAACATTGAAACGACAATACTGAAATAATCCTTAATTTCTCACTGAAATTGGGGAAACACATGACTATGCAGTGTTCCTGAAAGCTGAAAAGTAAAGGATGTATAAAACAAAAATAAGTGCATTTCAAATTTTCACAATTTGCTAAACACTGAACATATTAGAAATCATAAGTAATGGAATAAATTATTAAGAAAAAACTCAATAGCATTGAATTGGATACTGTGAGAGATTCCGCAAGGGAAGCCAATTCAGATTTCTCTGTTATTTTCAAATCCCCAAGCTTCGTAAGTAGTTCAATACGATTCTCCACGACCTGCATAACACAGAAGTCCAGGTCATGGTTAAATAAAAATCAATAAAACGTGAATTAAAAGCACACAAAAAAAAAAAAAATCGAAGAAAATGTCACTTCATTGAATTTGCGATGCAGTTCAAGTTTTGATTAAAATGGGATTCAAATTTTGTACAAGCTACTATACGAAACCTAGCTAAGAAATGCATAACTAAAAGCTGAGAGTGAGAGAAATGAGAGCGAAACAGAAAATTAAAAATGAATGGACTGAAAACCCTAAGGTTCAAATTGAATTTTTTGCAAAATTGGAAATGAAAAACTGAAAATACATACATCTGAGCATCTAATGGCGTCTTGTATACTCTGCAATTCGCTGCTTGAGCTCCCTCCCTCCATTTCCTTCTCTTTCTCTCAATACAGCTTCACTCTCTCTCACTCACTCTCTCTCTCTCTACTTTCTCTTCTGGTGGATTTGATTTCCCGCCTTTTCAAAAAGAAGAGGCAAATTTATAATTACACTTTATTGAACAGAAAACCATATTTATAGTTTCGCCCCTTTAAGAGGTTTAAATTCTCAACGTGGCCCTTTCTGTTTTTTAAATTTGTGAACTTGGAACATTTTGGTGTAAGCTTAAATAATTGGGCTTGGTTATGGACTTCATACAAAAAATATATAAAAATAACAATACTAAGTCAAAATTGGGAAGTTTGGACAGAATACCGGAGCTGAGCGTGATGATAATATTGTTAGGCGTGGAGAGTAAAACTCTTAAGGGCGTATTCAATTTAGATTTTAAAAGATTTTAAAGAAGTTTAAAAGTTTATGTGTATTCAATCTCAATTTTATAGAAGTCCATTCAATTTCTAGTGTATTCAATTCAGACTTTTTAAACTCCATTCAAATTTAGATGTATTCAATCATAACTTTAAAAGATTTCATAAAAGTTTGGATGTATTCAAAAACTCATTAATTTTAAAGGAAATACAAAAAGTGGTAGATTTCGTTTGATAATAGAATAATTTTAGGCCATGACAAGTCTTTGCTTTGCCCCAGAAATTTTGATAGAGATATTATTTTTATTTTCAAGATATGATTTCACCACTTCTATTATCACCATCTTATCATGACTATCACCATAACCACTGCCACCACCACTGTCATCGACACCACCCCTAACACCACCAACACTCACTGCCGCCCCTATTACCAGCCTCACCATCATCCCTACCGTCACCACTACTACCACCAGCACCATCATCATCACTGCCATCACCACCACCCTTACCTTCACCGCCACCACCCTTATCACCACATCCACCACCACTACCACCCCACTATTAGCCCCACTGTCACCACCACCACAACATAGCATCATCACCATCATTGCCATTGCTAGCATCATCACCATCACTGCCATTGCCACCACCTTCACAACCACCACCACCTCCACCACCACTACCTCCCCCACAAACCACCATCGCCACTGCCATTCTCATCCCCACCACCGCCATCACTATAAACTCCATTAAAATCAAAAACTCAGTTAAAATCTATATACGAATTCAGTCAAAATCTATGTGGAGTTCATAGAATTTAGTCAAACTCAATTAAATTCAATTAAACTCCATCAACTTCATAACTCTTTTAAAATCATTTAAAATCTTAAGTGAATACACCATTAACCTCAAGTGTGACGATTGTTGGTTGTTCAAGGTGTGGCCAGTATTATGGTATATGTCAATGCCCAATACATGGATTGTATAGCACTATAGTATGATCATTGGTATAACTTGTCTACTTGTTTTAACATGTGTGGATGACATGGTTGACTTCTCACTCTTAGGGAATAGTATCAATAAACATTCACTTGTATTATAACACGTTGATAAGTTATATCACATAACCGTACTACAATAATACATTATAATTACTCATGCCTAAGATATGTTTGAGAGCTAGAATAATTTTAATCATCAATTGATAGTTGTGGGGATTTGTTAACAATTTTCAACATTATCAATTAAGTTGGTACCTATTTCAATAAAGTGAAAACTGAGTGTCATTAGATCAAATGATTGTTAACATACAAACCCTTTAATTAACAAATAAAACTTCAATACATATAGTCGTAGTAAACACACATGAAGTACCACTTCACTTAGAAAAGTGACAGAGTGATTACTAGTTTATTCACTCTGTTGTAGGAGAAGCCTAGCTAGCTAGAAAGAGCAACACAACAGGAGACTTTCAAGTAGAACTGTAGGAGCAAACACACACAGCTTATGTATATTAATTGCTCTAAATTAATGGTAGCCTGGGGAACTCTTCCTGTCTAATTTCCCAGGCATGCCTACACCTCCAGAGCCATCAAATCCTCCAGTACCGCCAACACCACCACCTCCAAAGCCAGTTCCACCTCCAAAGCCAGAACCACTACCACCACCGCTGCCACCTCCACCACCTCCCCCTCCGCCTCCTCCACCGCCACCACTTCCACGGCCATACCCACTCCCTGAACCAAACCCTGAACCTGCACTACCCGGACCGGCACTGCTGCCACCGCCACCACCCTCTCCTCCTCCTCCGCCCCCAATTCTACTGCCAATGGACGGAGATGGTGTGGGAGCCAGTGTCTTAGAAAACGGTGGAGGGCTTACAGAGTGGACCAGGCTTATGAAAAGGAAAAAGGCTACGTAGATCAGTAGTATCCGAACCATGTTTAATTAAACACTTTATGATACTTTCACATTTATGCATGGTTTGCATAGTATGATCTGTTTATATAGGGCAAGGAGAGGAGCCAACTCACGAGATAGGTAAAGTACTATCGAACCCAAGTCTACCAAGATGAGGCATATTTCAATATGCAAACTCCAAGTTTTGTTTCCTTCCAACTTTTAGATTTAACAAATGAAACCGGGCATGTAGCAACGTGACACCTATGTTTTGAATTTAGGAGGTGGCATGCGTTACAATCAAAGGCTGCCAATAGCCATGATCTGCTTTCATGGCTAATGCCATGCGATATTGCAGGAAATCTGCGCATAGGACGTTACAACTTACAAGAGCATTGTCTTCTTTCCTGCAAAAAGAACATTCAAGGGAAGTATAGGTACTTGGATATTGATCAAAGAAGAAACAGGGGGTTTTGATTTGCTTAACCGAAAGATTTTAAAAAGATACCATCTTTCTTCGATTTCTTCATATTTTCTGCAATCAGTACGCAAGTTTGGGGTTAAAGCTAGATAACTGATACTTACTTGGGTGAGAAAAATGCTCCCTAATAACAAGCCAATCGTCCTGTAGCATATGGCATGGCATCACCAAACTCGTAAAGTACGCCATGCTACATATGTATGTGGTGTTGAGAGTGCCGCACATTGGAAGATGGAAGGATCTTGAGTTTCTCTACCTATTGCCAATATTATTTTGGATTGGATGCTCACATGTTAATATATGGTCTGAGAGCAAGCTCATCTGCAACAAGTTATACATGAGTAGCTCTGATCTTTAACTTCTGAATATAGATGTGTTTCATATTCTCGTCCCAACTTTACAATTCTAGTTTCTTCCTGGATAATTCCAATATTTAGCACTTTCCGTGGGTACAACATCAACAAAATTCTCAATGCTAGAAGTTTAAGTTTACCGTTTAAAGGACAAAGAGACAAGTTTTTCTTTTTATGTTTGCTAAGAAAAAGGAAAATTGGGGTATATTCAATTAGGATTCTAGAGCATTTTAAAAGATTTTTTTGAAGTGCCAGATTTCATGGAACTTTTAGATTTCGCATATATAGACTTCAGAAGAGTTCTATATAATTTTATTATAAACTTCCTTAAGATTTATATCGCTTTTATTCCAGACTTCCATAATTTCTTTTAACATATTTCTTTAAAGATGAATGCTAACTTGGCATCCTTACCCAGACAATCAAAAAACCAATCAGGCCCAACGCAATCCCATACATGATCTCCTCCTATTCTTCAGACATATATGATGCATGGGCTGCATGGTTGCATTTATCAAAAGGTCTAATCGCACTTTCAAAATTCTCTAGTATTCCTAAGCATGAATTATTGGTTACTCAAACACATCTTTTCCTTGAACAACATAAAACAACATTAAAAAAAAAGTTATGTTTGACGAAAAGCAAAATTAAAAAGAAATTCTCAAGAAATATAGTGACAATATGTATAACAAATTTGAAAGAAAAGTTTAAGGAAAATATCCAACATTCATTCATTATCCTTGATTCTCATTGTTGTCATTGTGCCCGACATCTCTCAACATATTCAAAGCTATACCAACTCTCCATTCATTAACATTATGCCATTGTTGTTCTTGTGTTTGGAAAACTAGTGCAGGATCCCCTTCAATAACCCATAACGATGAATATGAAGAAGATTCGTTCTCCAATTCAACAGGAAATTTATCGGATCTACACTCTTTTCGAAGAAAGTTGTGTAGTCCTACACAAGCTAACACTAGCTCTGTTTGTGTCGTATATGGAAATGGAGGTGCGAATTTGAAAATTGTGAATCGTGATTTAAATATACCAAATATCCTCTCAATGACATTCCTCAACGACTACACAAGATGAAGATTGAAAAAATCAACTTCATTTGTAGGTTCACGACCTTGATCACCAAACTCTTGGAGATGATATCGAACACCTCAAAATGGAGCCAAAAATTGGCGTCTGTTTGGAAATCCACAATACACTAAGAAAAATTTACCTGATAATAGATTACACATATTTTGGTATCCATTGTATGCCCAAATGTAAACTATACATGTAAAAATTAAAAATTAAAAAAATACATTGTGGCACCTTCATTTTTCATTAATCTTGGGGAGTATTTTGGTTTCTACAGTTGTCTTACTTAGCATACCATTAGCATCACGTCATCTATGAGATGCAGCATCAACCATGAGTTGCAACAACATTGTGATCTTTTCCACACTCCAAGCATTATTATCTTGCTTGCCCTTCCCTTTTCCAGTTACTTGTTGTGCATTTCCACACTCCATTTGAGTGATGCAACTATGAATTTTATCATATCAATCACAAATAAAGCATAAAAAATATACATAACCCAGAAAATACTACAGATGTTGAAAGATAATTATCAAAACAATGCTACAAGGTTGGATGTTCTTATCAAGATAATTATCAAAACAATGTTCCCTATAGAATTAAAAGGGTAGCTACAGCTTCCAACTAAACATGGATGCTGCCATCCATAAGAATTATTCTCTCTGCTCATTTGATTCAAAGTTAATTTCAAGCTATAGTTTGTCTAAGTGGTCATATTAAGCATACGATATAACTTTAATTATCTATTATTTGTACAAATTCATTTTTCAAGTTGTTCATCGAGTGTTTGGTCATTCAACAAATCAGAGTTTGAACTAAACTGCATAATAAAGTTTGAAACATGCAATCAAGAGAAGTGGAATTTGAAACATGCATCCATTCAGCAACACTTCTTTCATATATTTTTATTGTTATTATATAAAGTTGTATATAGATAATTGAGAAGAAAAACAAGGATAAACCTTAACCCCAAGCTAATTAACCCTAATAATAAGTAAAATCTGTAACCCCAAACTATACCTAATAAGAAGAAAAACATGATGAAGAAAAATTATGGAAAAAAGAAAACCCAACAAGGTATTGATCAAAGAAAAAATAGGGAGCGTAAATTCACAGATGGAGGAAGGTTGTTTGTCTTCTGCAAAGAGAAAAGGTAGGATGTATGCAGAGAGAAAAACTAGCATATGATGAAATCTTTGGGGGGGAGTTTGGATTTATTATGGTCTTTGTTATTTATACCTCTCACCTTAAAACCTACCAAAATTTATCACTCAATGAAATCATTCCAAATATATGACTTTTTGAATACACCTAGATTTTATTCTACTTTTTTATAATACTAACTGAATACACCCATATATGTATGGACTTTTTAAAATTTCATACAAGTTTGAATTGAATACACCCTGACTTGTATAAACTCTTTTAAAATTTGTATAAATTCATATTGAATCCACTCAAATTTTTAAATCTTTTTAAATACTCAAGAATAATTGAATACAGTCATCAAAGTGTACTAGCTATGTGCTTGGTTGTTATTATCTGTTAACATATTTTGTTTAAAAACCTGAATGGATTGAAATTCGAGGAGAGTAAGCATAGTAAAGAGTTTGTATGAAAGGTCCAAATTAATAATAATCAATATGCATAGTAAAGAGTTTCTTTCCTTTCCATGTAGTTCAATAGAAATCCAAAACTTTTTTCGTCTTGATAAAATTCAAAAGTACATTACAAGGTACCAATAGAATTCTAATGGACCAACATGTAGGGCTATTCCACATTGGGACAGTAAATTTTCTGGTCTGATTTCCATCAGATTCAAGGACGGGAGGACCCTGTCCATGCATAAATTAATTTCTGTCTACAATTATGATGAAGTCAGTGCTGAGACTGCTCACGAGAGAGTTACAGATATCACATTACAGATTCACATGGGGCTATGCATGCAACACATTTGCTTGTATTTCATTGGAATACAACTGCTCCAAGTCTGTCTTCTAGCAAAAGTGCTCTATAAAAATGGATTAGGTTTCCAAAGTAAAACAAATATATGTAAGTTTAGCTTTCTGAGAGCATCAAACATGAAGGAATTATTTTTCATGTTTCATGTGCTCCTCCTTGTGTGGTCTATATCATCGTATAAGAGTAGTGGCCTCATGCCCAAGATTAGAGATAATATGATGAATGAGAGTAAAATTAATTGTAGGCCGGGAGAGAGCAATGGCGCTGGAGTTGGGAGTGGAAATAGACTTCAATATGACAGTAAGTGTAACGCTGCTGGTACTGAAAATGATTGCTGTGGCTGTGGAGATGGGAATGGTGGGGGAGGCTTGGGAGGTGGTAGTAGTAGTAATTTTGGAGGTGGACGTGGTGGTGGACGTGGTGTAGGGGGCGGAGGAGGTGGCGGCGGCGGTGGAGGGGATGCAGGGGGATCTGGCGGAGGTTTTG